CGGGCGAAGGGGGGTGCTCATAGCTGACCTTCCCCGATTGTACCCAAGTTCCTGAGCCGAGGCAACTTTGGTGATGGACGGACATGTGGCCTTCGGCACCGAGTCAGGGTTTCCTAAATTCTCCAAAATAAAATATTTAGGTGGCGACTCTGTATCTGGCAAAGCAGTCCATGTTTGGCACTACTTTTTCAAAAATCTGTTTCTCAAAACGATTTGCCGGATTTGGACTCTTTGGTTCAGATTAAGAACCGCGACACAAATCGAGAGTCCGAACTGTAGCGAGGTCCCCCCCACGCGGGCTTGTTACAATGCTCTTATGGTTATATTGGAGATTCAAGAGGTGGCGTTACTGGGGTCGATCACGTCGGTGCTGGTATTGGCTTTACACATGGACGCAAGAAGAGAGAAACAGTCATAAATTAGGGATTTGTTTTGTAATGGAATTTAGACATGAGGCTTGATTGATACTACGGTGGAAGACTGAGCTTCGGATATTTGGAGAAGTGGTGTGGTGGGGATGCGGTGGAGAGAGGCATACCTCAGTAGCTAAGGGTGAATACTTGACGGAATAGGCAAAGGAGAAGTAGTGGCCTCCTTGTCGTTGTTGATGATGATGGCATTTTCTCTCTCTCTCTCTCTCTCTCTCTCTCTCTCTCTCTCTCTCTTACACATGTATGTACTCTATTTCTTTTACTAAAATGTGTTGCTGTAGAAATGGAGAGATAGAGATACAACAAGTGGTCACCATAGATTATTTTTTGGCAAATTATCAACACTCCATCAAGGTTTGACTAAAATACGGATTCGTCTTGAAGTTTGAGAAATTACATCCCGCCCCTGAAGTATATTTTGTATAACAAATTACCTTGTTATGCAAATATAAACCTCGGGAGGTAATTTGTTATGTAAATATAAACCTCATGGGCAATTTGTAATTTTTAAAATCTTAGGAGAATTCGTATTTTAATCAAACTTCGAGGGGTGTTGGTAATTTGCCTTTTATTATTATTTTTTAGTTCTTCTTCTTGTTAATGATGATAATGATCTGAGATTTCAAATCTGTTTTTTCTTTTTCTTTTTTTTGGTAGTGTTGTTGATGATGATAGTGATGAAAGATCGCAACACACTGAGAGAGGGGGGGAAAAGATTTGAACATATAGAATTTAGTTTGTTTTGCTATTTCAACAAATACAAAAAATAAATAAAAAAACTAAATAGAATATTTTTCAACAAATAGAGAGAGAAAAGAAAAATGGATAGAGTAGAGAGAGTTTGAAAATGAAAATTCCACAAATAGGTTAAAAAATTTAGCAGATAAAATTTTTTGAACAGAGACTAAAAATAAATTCAATAGATAAAAAAATTTGAACAAATAGATAAGAATTTTGAACAGATGGATAAAATTTTTTGAACAGATAGAAAAAAAAAATTGAACAGATAATCAACGAAAGCCAAGAGATTAAAAAAAATCAATAGATAAATTAAAGGATAAAATAAAAAACAAAATGTCCTCCGAAATAAACAAAACGACTTTTTATCAAATTATTTCACAAAAGATAAATCTCTCACGAGCAAAAAAATATCTATTATACCTAATATCTTATAACATCATTAGATTGGATTTATTATCATTTTACTCTTTTTTTATTTACCAAAAAAATAATTCCCGTTTTTTAATCCCTCTGGCAACACCACCTAAAAGGGCCGTTGATAGCCGAGAAGATGCAGCCCGGCTGCCGAGCTCCCAGTAGAGTGGGCTGGCAGTTTGGTTAGGTGGTGTTCAGCAAGATTTGTGCTGACAGATGGGATGGCAGCATCACGTGTCGAGAGACGGATGAGAGTAGATTTGGGGCACAGAAGGTATATAAGCGAGTCTGCGCCCCCCATGCTGGACAGATGAACATTTGGTAAGAGAAACACTTACACTCAACTCTCTCCTCACTCTCTCTATCCTCAGGTGTGTGCTAACTTGATCGTCGGAGGGGTTTTCCGGCCACACACCGCCAGGTAGCTCACTGTTGTTGTGCATGCAGGTGATCGGACAGAAACGGAGCTTGGAAGAAAGGAATACGGGCTTGCCTGAATATCTGCTCCCCGTACAGGATCGATAGGGTTTTTTGGGAGTTGATTTTGATCTTAGAGCATCTCCAATGGTTTATCTAAACATTCCTATAAAATATATATTTTATTTTACCTGTTAACTGTTACATATTTCTACTCCAACTATGCTCTTTATTTTACCTATTCATCTAAATACTATTTCCTTTATAGAATGTTATGTCAACAACAAAGATGGAGGGAAATAATCCTAATGATTAAATGCATTTTGCCTAACCTTGAAGGCTAGCTACATGTAGCTAGTGAATGTGAGTTGAGCCAAAATGCCTAATTATATGCCTAGTGCATTGGAGTTGAAAAAAGTGAGTCACACTAGGCAATTTGACTAACAAGCATTATATGCATAGTGGGTTGGAGATGCTCTTATGGTTATATTGGAGATTCAAGAGGTGGCGTTACTGGGGTCGATCACGTCGGTGCTGGTATTGGCTTTACACATGGACACAAGAAGAGAGAAACAGTCATAAATTAGGGATTTGTTTTGTAATGGAATTTAGACATGAGGCTTGATTGATACTACGGTGGAAGACTGAGCTTCGGATATTTGGAGAAGTGGTGTGGTGGGGATGCGGCGGAGAGAGGCATACCTCAGTAGCTAAGGGTGAATACTTGACGGAACAGGCAAAGGAGAAGTAGTGGCCTCCTTGTCG